CCCTTAATAAAAATAACGCAATACTTTCAGTCTGCAGAATTTTAAATGATTATTGTTCATGAACAACTTCTGTTTTCGGAACTGCATACATATTATTGTACAGCAGCGTATTAAAAGGAAGTGGATGAATAACATTAATTCCTTCAAATTCCATTAATCACTAACACTGTTTAACTAAGATATTGTCTAGCAGCAATTAAAGGCGCGGGAGATAACATACTGTTTTCACTTGCGTTTATTATTTTATTATTTTTCAGTTTTAATATGCATGTATTATATTTTATGGAAGAATAATTCTGCTAATTCAGTTTTAATAAGGATAAACGGCGTTGTATTAAAATTCATTTGAACTCTGCCAATTTATAGTACGAAGTGTAAAACCAAATTTTTAAACTAACGTCACGAAAATTTGGAAAAATACAGACTATTAACTGCTGTCGGTACAGTGACTGGCTACGGGCTGGACGACCCAGGGTCTGAGTTCGAGTGCCGAAAGCTTCAAAAAGTAAATGTTGCAGGTCGACTGTATCTTACTGCAGTAACGGAATATAAAATATTGTGAACACCTGCCAAAAAATAATATTCTAAAGTGCATTACATAAATCCTGGGTTTAAGATGCAAATTCTTCATTTTAATGTCGTATATATTGCTTTAGAACGCTTTCGGGAATGTTAATTTAATCTCAATATTATTTTATACTTCATTAATGTAATTCACGCGAAAGCCGTACCGGGCAAGTCACATGCTGCCCACGGATTGTCAATTATTAATTTAGCATCTCATTTCTCTCGACAGTACATTTATGACAACAGCTTTCTTGAATATGACGCCGTTTAGTCTGAAAAATAAGCTCTAAACTTCCAGAAGAACCTACTGCCTCCACATTCAGGTTACGAAAAGAGAAGTATCTGGTTCTTCCGAAACACTAGTTACCATTTGCGGGACGACATAACGTCATATCACACAATTCCGTTATATTATCCATTTACACTTTCGTAGAAATTTAATACATCAATTACCATGACAATTTAAATCAAAGTTATACCTTTCAACTAAAAGAGCAAGCCAAGATTCCTGGCAAATTTCATTTAAAAAGATCAACTGTCTTTACAATTTCGTCATAACTAATGACATGGAATTACCGAATACTGCAGTAGATGGCTCATATGAACACGGTAATTGATGTTTGGATTCCGTAAACGGCAGGAAATTTCTTGACTAGCCAAGAGACTGTTAGGTTCCCAAGGAGGACTCTAATCCAAATCTAGTTATTTAATTACTACAATTTTTGGGAACATATATCTCGTGCTTTTGTTGCAATGGTGAAATAAAGGAGATATGGTGTGGGTTGGGCATATAACTCGCGTGGGATATCAAAAGAATTTAAGCAGATATTTTATACAAAACCCTCTCGGCAAGCCGACCGACACCGAGAGGATAATTTAATATTCAGAACTTGCATAAAGGCTGCTAAAATTATTAGAAATAAACTTCTTCTACCATACCTAACTATAATAACTTGAAAAGACTTGTAGGTTTTGCTGAGAGACTAAATGCGATAGAGCAAGAGCATATACTAAGCAGTTCAGTATTGAGATAAAAGTTTTTTTTGGTCGAAGGTGGACACTGCGGTAGAAACTCAGCCACAACTTCAACTATTGCCATCTAAGATTAATATTCATAACTACTAACAGCAAATCTGACTGTAACAACGATGGAATAATAGCTCTTGGTGTATATACGATATGTGTGTATGTATGTACGTACGTACATATATGTATATATCACGAAACTGTTGTGAGTATGTAAACGGGACGAATGTAGTTCACAGTCGTATTCTGAAACAGGCTTTCGTCTTAGCGGTGGTATTACCAGAGAGTTGGTTAGCTAGTTTCTTTGTTTGCTAGTTAATAGGATTCCTACTAAAGCTTACGACGTTCCATCAGACGGAGCGCTGAAAAGCAGCTCCACTCGATTCAGACACGGGAGTCAAAGGGAATGCCTCTCGCTGCCGTGAAGACATAGCCTAAGGCCCATGTAAACATGTGTTAACATTGCAAGCAGTCCTTTCCGTATGCTTCCATTTATCTCCGTAACGTTACATTGAGGGCAATTGCAGTAAAATTTCCAGTAAGGAGTGTTCTGTGTGTAGGGCCACTGCACGATCAGCATCAAGAGTCTGCATTCCTCTTTAAGCAGAAGAACGCATTTCCCGGCCCAAGACAAGCATCACAACACAGGCAGCCAAGCGACCTCCAGAAACGTCACGATATTAGAAAAGATATCTATTTTAAATTTAATTTTTATTACATGGAAATCAATTTCTGATGATCATTTATTCATGCACTTGTAGTCGTCATTAATTGGTGGTAGTCTAAACATATAGCTAAAAATTAAGTAGAAATGTTTATGAGTTACTAAACCAAGGAAGATTATAGTCCAAGTACGGGCGATATCCCGAGCCATACGAGACCAATCAACATCTTTAATCTGCAGCAGAGATTTTAGTTTTTCTTTTAATTGGTATAGTGTGGGGTGGAGTCTAGCTTATTGGCCTATTGTACTAGCACCGGGTGATTAAGGTGATGGAGAATTTGGTGGAATTAAGTCTGGCAAGTGAAACCGAAGTACTCGGAAAAAAAAAACTGCCCCGCCATCTTGACCACCACAAATTCTACTTGAACAGACCCGGGCTCAGACCAGGGCTGCCGGAGCGGGACGCCAGCGACTACCAGCTTGAGATATGGCGTGGCCTCAGCCGCGATTTTAGTTTTGATTTTGTTTTTGAATAAATATAGGTTCAAATATTATTCTTCTAATAGTGAAGGAGTGAAGTCGGCATAGTTCCGTCGGTATATAGACGGGCTAGAGGCTGGACGTCCGGGATTCCATTCCCGGTAAGAACAAGATTTTTCTATTCTCCACAGTATCCAGACAGGATCTGAGGCCCACCCAGCCTCCTATCGCTATAAAGAATATGAGGTTAGCAATTGAGAATAAAAACACTGCAAGACACAGTCGTTGGCATTCACTTATATACCATTAAATACACAGTAATTTCTATTTACGAAACACGAAAAATATTTTCATTACTTACAGGAATAACGAAGCATAGTGTTAAGTCTTGTTAAGCATAAAATGTTTCGCTTTTATCATTAAACTGTATGTGGTTACTTATCCACGAAAAAGCGGTGAACCTAAATTGCTTCAGCTGTTATACCTTACACTCCCTCTGAACCCATAGCAGTAACAAGCTAACAAGACCGAAGAAAGTGGGGGCTGCATAAGGATTTTATATGGTAACGTGTATGCCCATTGCTAGGCAACGGCTTGGTAAACTCATTCTCGCAACACACGTGCACTGAATTATAAGATTCATATTGCTAGGCAACAGCACGGTAAATACGCATTCTTGATAACACGTGACATGTGTTTTCCGTGGAAACGGATGAAGGGGAACACTCCACTTGAGTACACATACTATTTTCATATTTACATACTTCATTATAATTGAGAGGATATCATTTATTGCTGATAGAAACATATTGTAGCATTACTAATCATGTTATATACAATAAATAAATTCTGAAATTATTTTGTGCTGACTGAGGATATCACAGGTGATCGATATGAAGACAACTCTTTTCTCACGTGTGACGTCATTCACTCTGGTAGGTAGGTACCAATGTTACAGAGGGATCTTTGTTGAAGAAGAACATAATTTTATCTGAAGAGTACATATTTTTCTATATTTCTACGGTGCTGAATTTCGCCAAATCCCAGAATATTGCAGTTCCAAGAAACTCTCTTTCATGTTTTCCGTTAAGCAATCGCTAATCTAAATATATTTCAGAAATAACGATCTCTTTTATGAGAAGCTTACTTTGTAAATAAACGGATAATGTTCGGCTTGAGCTTTGTGAGAAGTAGAGTGGAGGGCTCTTGTGAAGACCGTAATGAATCTTAAGACTTACTGAATGAAGCACAATTACTTGAGCTAACTAAGCAGTTATTATACTCGTACTCTCAAGGACTCTGATCCATGAAGTTAATTATATAGTTCACAGGTAAATCGAGGTAAAGTACAAAGGACATAAACCAAATAAAACATAATTTTAGTGCAGATCCTGAAATACCGAATGTAATATAAATCAAGCCAATAATTTTGAACATGAAGTACGGGACCAGAAGAGGTCAGACATCAGCCCAGAAGACGTTTGTTTCGCGCAAATTACAAAAGAATATGGAATGAATACATTTATTTACAGTTTATTTAATGATACTACGGATCCACGTTAGCTCAGTCCACATGGTGATTGGCTACTGGCTGGACAACCGAGAGGTCGGATTTCAAGTCCTGGTAGGGTCAAGAATTTTGACTTCTCCATGTCGTCCAGACCGGCTCTGGGGTCCATCCAACCTCCTATAAACTGGGAGTTTCTTCTCAGGGGGTAAAGCGGTCTGGGCGTGAATCTGACCACTCGTCTCCAAATAGTGCCGAGGTCAAGAAAATATGGATCTATGCATCCACTCTCACATATGCCTTCATGGCGTAGTGTTTAATTAGTTGAGCAAAGGGACAACTTTATCTTACCTTAACGATGCTAACAGTATCTCAGACACACTCTCTCTCTCTCTTTCCTGTTCCTCCATTTTGGAGCACAGGTCATCCTTGAAATATTTTCATTTCCGTTTCTTAATCCTATGACATTCGGTAGGACTCCTTGGACGGGTGATCAGCCTGTCGCAAGGCCTCTACCTACACTGGACAACACAAACACAGAATAAACGCAGACATTCATGCCTTGAGTGGTATTCAAACCCACGATCCCGTGTTTGAGTGGGCGAAGTAAATTCATGCCTTAGTCCGCGCAGCCATTGTAATCGGCGTATATCAGACTTCAGACTTATAACATCAAATAGTTAAATCATCAAGTAATAATGAACTGACAGGGATGTGGAAGGAAGTTTATCTGATTTTACTTATTTACTATTCCAGTGTTCGTCCTCGGGGCTGTGGAAATTCACCTAAAATCTCGGTCACGACACGAGACTGGGAGTTGAGCTTGGATCCCCAAGAATACGAAGTAGGAGTGCTAATGGCTCGGCCGTGTATTTCGGTAGAACGTGACAAGGACATCCGGATACGACTTCTGCCAACGGTCACAGCCTCTGGAAATTTGTCCAACCGACAGCATAATGCATGTTAATCAGAGTACAAGCTTTTAGCTGTAGCTGTAATCCTCACTGAAACAGTTTTTCTACCCACATTCAACATGAAATAAGCGTAAGAATGAAGCAAACAATTTGGTTTGCTACTTTGCTTTTCAGATTATACGAAACCCTCGGCACTGAAAACAAATAGACAACGATAGCGACACAAAACTTCGTTTATTTTAAAACAATGTTAACCTCTGAAAATTACAGAATTATCAAGAGATTTTAAGTGGGGGAATATCAATATACGAACTGCACGAAATTTTCAGTTCTTAAGAAGGCTAAAGCTTGACGCGATATCGTTATGTACGCAATTAGAGTTAGTCTCGTTACTAGTACCAGTACAAAACTGATGCTATAAATGCCAGTTGATATATATTTGAATCGGTATTACAGTGTCAACATATTGTGGCGTGCCGCCAGAAAGCCGGAAAGGTTCAGAAGATCAGAGTTTATTTCCTAGGCAACGACCAGCGTTTCCGCTGGAACGCCTTGGAATCCGAACGCTAACAAACCTAAGCAACGAATTGTTCAAAGCGGTTGCATGACAACGGCTGCGATAAACATGTATAATTCAGTGGGAACGGAATACCAGCAGGACGTTGCCTAGGAATCGCTTAAACAACAAATGCTTTTCCCCGGAAATGAAAGGATATCCAGCGGACAAAACGGAACCTTTGAACGCGATATTCACTAGTCAGTCCGAGTGTTCGTTATAAAAGTCCAACTTCGACGAGACCAGTCAGTTCTTAGTGTAGCTCCGACTAGAGCGGAAGCCAGCTGGCAGCCGACAAAGGGATCAAGACACTTCACTGAGATCAGCGGTGCAAGAAATAATTGTGATAGTGAAGTTGTGAATAATTGTACTTGCGAGTGTAAAAGAGATTGTACAATAAATATATTCGCCAATTCCGGGAACCCACAAAATTTCTTGTCTCGTTGTCTAGCACACACGTGACAATATTTTGCGAGAACTTCATACCGTATTTCTAGTTAGTCACACGGCTTAATGCATGATGTAGTTCTATTTAATTTATCTTCTTAAGCTGTTAAGTTTGCCGTCTTTCCAGAACTTTTCAAACCGATGAGGTTAAGTATTGCGGATGAAGATTTCTGTAGATGTAAGAAATGTTGCATATGCTTAGGAATTGTTTTACGGATGAATTTATATATTCTAAATTCAATAGTTATGTCTATCCTGAGGTGAATATTTGCACCGGAGAGGGATGGAGTGAAGGTGGTTGAAGAAAACCCCTTCATAATTGGTACTGTTCCCTAAGTTTAATCAGAATGATTCAGTCACGGAGGATGAGCTGGGAAGGACATATAGCACGCATAAAAATTTTCTGGGATAGCCAGAAGAAAAGGACTACTAAGAAAGCTTGAAGATGATATTAAGACGTATCTTAGAGATAGGATTTTGTGGTATGTGTCGCACTGAACTGGCTCAGGACAGGGACAAGTTAAAAGCATTGTGAACACAGTAGTGAACCTTTGGGTTCTATAAAATTTTGGGAAGTTCTTAAGTACGTAAGCGACGGCTTCTCAAGGAGACTCAGTTTCAGGGAGTTGGTCAGTTAATGTCAATAAAGGCAGGATTTTCCGCCTGAAATTTCAGTGGACTCTATTCTGGTCGTCACTCTATCAGCAGACACTCACGCTTTCGCCTATTTAGTGTTATCACTTGATAGTTGCTCTACAAGGTGTTCGGATTTGTAACTGAATTTACTGAACACTGAAAATTGTTTTAACTTTCCCGTGTCATGCCACAGTACTCAATATTTGTTAATGAGAAACTTAATATTGAATTAACACTGCACATGGAAACGATTTACCTTCTCTCAAACTAAGAGCGGGAATTATAGATGCTACTCTTGCTGAGTATTACGTTATTAAAATATATAAGTAGTCGAAGCATTCTAGATTTCAGCACCAGATGTATGGTCAGGTTCAAGTGACCATAGGATACGAGGCTAGACTAGCCTTACAGCTGGGTGCTGTGCTCATGGTTTATATAACGACACTGTAACAAGTTTTCTATACAGCGCCAATGGGTGTAGCAAAGAGAATACAAATTTATATCTGTGCAGGGAAATGAATCCGTTCTGTCCGGTTACTTCACTTTTTGAATTATCACAGCTAACCACCTCCAACAAAATTCAAAATAGAGATGGTACGATCCCCTTTAAAAGAAATGTAACACTTATCTAAAAATGTCTTTCTCTCATAATTAATTCCGAAAAATTAAAACGGATATTTAGGAAATATTCTACGAATTACTCGTCATTACCACGCCGTAACAATCTTTATCTCAGATATTACCTGGCTTCAACTTAGCAACGCCTAAAGTAATGTCCTGAAATTCTTTGTCATACTTTATCTTAGAGCCGGTCACGGTAGCCGAGCCGTCTAAGGCATGTACTGTCTTCGCTCGCTTGGAAACCGGGATCGTGGGTTCGAATCTCACTGAGGGCATGGATGTTTAGTTTGTGTGTGTGTGTGTGCGTATTTCTGTGTTTGTGAACATGTAGAGGCCTTGCGACGAGCTGATCACCTGCCCAAGGAGTCCTACGGAATGTGTAAGCTCTAGAAAAACCGAAGTGAACGGAGAAGTTCATGGAGGTAGGCCTGGCCCACTGGGACTGTAGTGCCGAGGAAAGAAAAAACAAACAAAAAAGAACTTGATCTTGGAAATTCTGCGACTGTGGCGGTTTACATCATGTGTGTGAAATGTTGCCTAGTAGGGGAAAAGAATTTTCTGCAGATAATCAAAATCTGCAGTGAGCTGTTTCATAGTGAACGTGACGATGTTTATTCTTTAGATCTTATCGCGAGGCTCGTTGTGTTGCACAAGCTTCAGTTTGTACTCGTGTAGTTTCAATCTTCTGCACAGATCACACAATAAGCTTCTGAATCTCTAGTTCACGGATAATGTGTTGAACAGAACATTTCGGGCTTCACTGAAATGTTGCTTCAATAAGCCTACTCTCGACTTGTGATATGCTTGGCCTCTCTTGTGAATATTATTTTGAGACAAAGCCCGTTCCTTGGAACTGGTGATACCACATGCGAATATCCTTATCAGTAGAATCATCGTTTCCATACACCTGCCTAAGTTTTCTTTTTCAGAACCGACACCAGGTACTTTGATTCGTCACACCACAGTACGCACTGCGCCTTTTCCTGCGGCGACATCATGACTGAATGACCTCGGCTTTCATGCAGTCCGAACTTGTCGCAGTGCGGTGCTGCCATCTCTCCAGAATTCATTTCACTATGACTAGGAAAGATTTTGTTCCAAATTTTCGAAACGTAACAACTATGTAATTTACCAGCGAATAAATCTTCGAGGTTCCTATTCGTATATCCTTTATATTTGCAAAGATAAAGTTATCTCCATGTTTAATAAACTAAACATTATGCCATGGAGATGTATGAGAGAATGGAGGTTTAGCTCCACTATTCTTATTCTCAGCACTAGCGAGAGGTGAATGGTTAGCTTCAGCACCCGTCCGCTTTACCCTCGGGGATAAATAGGAATACAAGTGGAGACAGTTAGCTGGGTTGGCCACAGATCCGGTCTCGAGGCTGTGGAGAAGAGAGAGATTTCCTGTTCCTGCCGGAAATCACACCCCGGCCTCCAGCCCGTAATCCATCGCTATAACAACAGGTCCCTCCCGGCTCCTATATGACTGTTAAATAGGATATGAGTGTGTGTACTGCATTCAACTGAAGCAGCATATGAACCAGAGAGAGGCTGATGGAAGAGAGTAAAGAACCTTCACGTCAAAAACGGGCAGGACATTTTTCTACTTACGTTGCGACTGTCAGCTTCTCAAATAGGTATCTACTCCACTGAGTCTCTCAGTCTGCTAGCCCGTAAATAAGCTAAGAACCGGTTTGATGTTTTAATGGGAATTTGTGGTGTCACGCTGCACTCGTTTTGCAGTCATGAACTCCTGCGCAGTGCGGGCCTTGCGGAACACTGAAACCGGGATCTAGCTGAATATTCACGCTGTGATGTTGGAAAATTCTGTAGACAGAGCTACACTTATAGAAGATGTAATAACAACAGAGTCTATACATAACTGAAGTTGATACGTAGAATTACGCTATGAAATACTCTCGGCGTGACGGAGAAGTTCATGGAGGTAGGTCTAGGCCCACTGGGGCTGTTGTGCCAAGGAAAAAAAAATCTCGGCAATGAAGAACGCTCTAATACCGACCAACGTGTTTTCCACAGCTCCTGTTTCGCAACTACAGAGGAACATATGTAACGAGAGAAGATGAAGAGAGAGCGGCGCAAAGCAAACACACGAGCAAACGTGATCGGCTAGAAATACTTGAATCAAACTCCTGAAAATTGTACGGAAAATATTCCTCTGTGGTGTACGCAAAGATTATAATCACCTCAACTAATTCGTTGGACAGAAAATAATTTTATAATGACACTGCTAGAAATGGGCATATAATGTAAAGTTCAGTCATATTTATTTTGTCGAGATAAATTCTGAAGAGGACCCAAATTTTCTTGGGTTTCGTTTGCACTCAAGGCCGATTCTATGGTCTAGTGATCAGAGTTCCTGGCTACAGATTCAGAGGTCCCGGATTCGATTCTCGGAGCTACCATATCTTATGAGAAGTAGTGGGTCTAGGACGGGGTCCACTCTGACTTATGAGGATAATTGAAGAACTACTTGAATGGAAAAGTAGCGACTCCCATCTAGAAAACAGAAATTAACGGCTTGGGGAATCCGTTGCGCTGACCACGCGACACCCTCTATCAGCAAAAGTTGGCACTAACTTCGCCGACAATCGGCTATCGCTCTGTCGGTATAGTTCTCTGGCGGACTTAAAGCCACGGACTTTAGTTTCTACGGTTTGAACTCATCCTTTCCATTGGTTTATATACGATTGGATGTTACATAGTGATGCTAGTAGTCACATACAAGGGTTGGATAAAAAGTAGTGGGAACACTCCTGTAATATGAAAGATGTGCGACAGGTGGCACTAGCGCTGTCTGTAGCTGATAGCAGAAGTTCAGTTGAAGTAGTGCAGTGAGTGGCTCTGATTGTATTTCACTGAGTTGCATTGTGCATCGTCTTGAAGTGCAGGAGACCGGTTCAAGCACCCTAACAACATGTTTACGAAACAAGAAGAACGCTCCTCGGTTTTTTGTTGTAGTAATTCCAGGGAATGAAAGAGTTCTCTTAATATCTTTACGTATTAATTGTTTAATTTCGTCCCAAACATGGTCATATAAAGAATTTAATTTGGATATATTTTTCTGAAGATTTAACTAATTCTACTTTAATTGCATCCCATATTTTCAATGTAAATATGTATATTTTAACACTGAGTTGAAATGTATTTTCCTTCTAAAGAATCAACGAATATCACTGAAATGGGTACAGCAGTCCATTTTCATCACTAAAAAAACATCATATCTTTGTTGTTGATGTATATGGACAATTCGTGGTTGACTCCCTAATGACGCATGTATGTTTAGATGAAAGTCAGCATAATTTAAGTATTATAGTGCACCTTGCACGTGCAAATATTTCAGCAATGGTGTCATAGCATGTTAGTTTGTGCACGAGGAGAAGCTTCCGAGCCCATCACATGGGATTGCCCCTTTCATTCCAGTCCCCACGAGCTCGCTATCAGACCGGCAGGTTCCTCATTGATTACGGGTCCAGATGCAGGCCAGTTGGCGTTACAATAACGAAGCTCTTCTCCTCAGGGAATACGGAGCGAATCCTCTCAGACCTTAACTAAGGCCCGGACAGCTCCATCCCGCACACAGAGACGTTCAGCATCTGTCCCAGACGACGAAACTATGTCACAGCGTAATGCTGACCTGGCT